ACGATGAGTTACAAAGAACAGTATCAACAAACCTTGGAACCTCTAATTGTCCGCTTTACTATAGGTATACGTATGACTGAAAATGAGACAAAGCGAGCCATAAAATGAAGAGAATCGATTCGATTTTACTACGGATAAACTTGCGCTACCATAAATAAGACCGGGATAGGAAAGATCAGAAAAGCTATTTCGTTACAATAGGAATCTTGGACAACTCGCCACTGGTGGTTATCACTGCATCACCTTGGTGCCCGTGCGTTCAAATATCAACATTGATACTGAACGTTCGCACGTTAACGTATCCTATGCGAACCTTTTGAGGAGCCACTCGCGTTATTGAAAAAAATGATTGCAAACCTATCTACTCAAAGTAAAATGAAGTAAAACTATCTTCATTATTGCGCTATCTAGTAGGTGAACAAACCCATATAAGATACTCCAATTCAAATTTTTATTATGGGAGAAAACTTACAAAGACTTCGGCTATCAAATCCTCTAGGGTGTTTATACATTGGTTCGAAACACGATTCACAAGATCACAGTTAGTCCATCAAAGTAAAATAGTAATGTAATATTTTTGATGAGCACAGGAGAATATATCATGTAGTTGGGTGTTGAAATATAATGTTTGCCAGAGCATCATCAAGCTGACACTTGAACGATACTCATGTTGGCGCACAGACTACGTGAGGTGGTGGAGAGTTCCGTTTGCTGCACACTCTGACTGCAAATGAATGGCATCTGCAGTCGAGACGGCTCTTCAGTGGATGACCTCTGAGGTGAACATTGGTTGACAGAACCAAAAGAGATCTACATGAATGGTCGGGCTGTTGGAAAATCCGATACAGTAAGATCATATCGCTTCTGATTTGACGATATTGGGATGAGTATAGCCCCAAGAGCTGTAATCTTTCGTCATAGGTCTTGGAATGTAGATCTTTGACCATCTTGGTAGCCATTCTCTGTGGATGTTCAAGTGCCTTCCGATCTCGCTGCAGCCATGGGTTCCAGGCCTGAATTGAGTACTCGGTGTATGGACGGATATATGTGGCTAGCAAAAACACGTTTCAGCAGTTCAACCTGTTTTACCGCCATGGATGATGCCGTGGAACAGTTTGTGGAGCAACTCAAGTCTGCACGAATGATTACCCACAGATCTTTCTCGGATGGAGCATGAGGCAGAGTTTCGTGTCCGAGAGTGTAAGAATAACGACCAGGGTGACGTAGTGATAAAACTTTACATTTGGTAACGTTGAATTCCATATCATTGGAGACAGACCACCTGTGGGCTTCTTCAAGGGCGTTCTGGAGATCAAATGAATCTTCTGGTTTTGTTACTGTCCTCCATATTTTGGCATCGTCCACAAACAGCAGAGTTTGTGGTCCGAGGACGTCTGGAAGATCATTTATAAAGGCAAGGAAAAGACGTGGGCCTAGTACGGATCCTTATGGAACACCACGGTTGGCATCTATTGGATCAGATAATGAATCGGAAACACGAACTGATATGGTACGTAGGCGAAGAAACTCCTCGATCCAGTTAAGTACGAGTCCATGGATTCCATAATTAAACAGCTTCCGTATCAGTATTTGATGATTTACTTTATCAAATGCTTTAGAGAAGTCCAGGTAAATAACATCTACCCCTTGGCCTTGGTCTACAGGATGAGTCCAATCGTCCCGAGCCCAAATCAATTTAGTTGCACATGAACGATTTTTTCTGAAACCCGTGCTGGGTTGGGGATAGTAGGTCATTTATCTCCAGATGATCTATTACCGAATCTGCAACAATAGATTCCATGACTTTGGACAAAACTGGAAAGAGAGTGACGGGTCGGTAGTTGGCTGGGTCACTACGGCATCCACCTTTGTAAATTGGTGAAATGACACCGTTTTTTTACACCTGAGGAAGCACGGTATCTTCGAACACTTTTTGGTATAGCTCACTTAAAGGATCGGCTATGTGACTTGCCAGGGTGATAAGGGCTTGTGGATGAATGTTGTCTAAACCGGGTGATGAGTTCTTCTTCAAAGCCAAGAGGTTTGCCTTTATTCTTTCGTGAGAAAAGATAATGTTTGTCAGTAATGGGTAAGGAATATGTTCCAGCAAACAGGGAAGTACGAAACCAGCGTTACTGGGGGCATTGACCACTTGAGAGTGCTGTACTCTAAGCATCTCTGCAGCCTCCTTGGTTGTTGCTGAAACACGTCCTGCTGAGTTTAGTATCAGAACGCCGTGTTTGACTTTCCGGGAATCGTTTACATGCTTATATAATAGATTAGGGTTTGCGATAAACTTCCTCGCCAGCATATCATGATAATTGTGCTTGTCTTCCCGCACCAAATTTGTACAATGATTTCGAAGGAGCCTGTAAGCTTCCCAATTGTTGGGGCATGGACAGCGTTTGAACTCCCTCCAGTGAAAGCCCCTTTGCATTATCAATTTCCTAGTTCGACTGTGAATTGCTGACTTCCGGACAGTCGGTTGGCATAGACGCTTGACGGTTGTAACAGCAGTCACCAATGTTGTAATGCTGTTAGTAAATTTTCTCCAGGATTCCAGGGGATTGCAGCCTATATCAGGAGAGATCCAGTGGATTCCATGAGCCAGGTTGTTTAGTCCCGCATAATCAGTTGTGCTGCGAAAGTGATCCGAAGAAGCTGTTATTATTGATGCATAGCAAACGTATTCGAATAATAATACAGTGTGATCACTGCGCCCCAACGGAGTTGCGATTGCAATTGATTCGACCATCAATTCTTCATTTGTCAGTACTAGATCCAAAGTTGACGAAATTTGGTTGGTTCCAAACCTGGTAGGTTCCTTCACATGATTGTACAACGGGTGTGACTGGATGAACTGCTTCAACTGTCGTTCAAATGGCGTACACAATGTAGTCACGTTGCTCAGCTTTGGACAGTTGAAGTCATCCATAACAAGAACGTGGGTGAAATTCAATGACAGGAAGTAAGACATTGTTTGCAACAAAGTCTCATTTGATGAATCTGCTGACGAAGGAGGGCGATAAACTACACGGATCAGGCCGATTTCATGTTGTGTTAGCTTCACTTTACACCATAACGCATCTGAAGCAGCGAACGGGCACTCAATTTGTTCGAATTGCAATCTGTTATGATAGTAGAGCAACACGACCCCACCTCGCGTTGGACGATCACGCCGTAATAACTCCATGCCCGGTAATCGCAGCTCGGAGTCCAAAATGTCAGTCGTCAACCAGGTTTCGGTTACGGCAAAGAGATCCCATCGACCGGTCCGACAACGTAGGTGCACTTCTGGAAACTTACTGAAAATACCCTGAGCGTTGGTATAGA